TTAATAAGCACTAAATCGCAAGTTAATAATACAGTATTTTTAACTGTACAAACAATAATTCTTGGTTAATAAGCACTAAATCGCAAGTTAATAATACAGTATTTTTAACTGTACAAACAATAATTCTTAGTAAACAAGCACTAAATCGCAAGTTAATAATACAGTATCTTTAACTGTACAAACAATAATTTTGGTTAACAAGCACTAAATCGCAAGTTAATAATACGGTATCTTTAACTGTACAAACAATAATTATTAGTTAACAAGCACTAAATCGCAAGTTGATAATACAGTATTTTTAACTGTGCAAACAATAATTTTTAGTTGACAAGCACTAAATCGCAAGTTAATAATACAGTATCTTTAACTGTACAAACAATAATTTTGGGTAACAAGCACTAAATCGCAAATTAATAATACAGTATCTTTAACTGTACAAACAATAATTATTAGTTAACAAGCACTAAATCGCAAGTTGATAATACAGTATTTTTAACTGTACAAACAATAATTCTTATTGCAATACCAAGTATATGTAGTAATGTTACTACAGTAACTCTAGAAAATATTAAAAGGCGAAATTGCTGTTGTATTATAATAAGAAATAATTTTACAGTAACTGTTCATACTCTACCTGTCCGACAAAGTCTGGAGAACAGACGGAAGCAGAACTTTGCAAATCGTTCGATAGAGTATGGAGTCACAAATACCAACCAAATTCACCAGAGTGTTGCTTCCTAGAACTGACGTTAGATGGGGCGGTATTCCCTGCCAAAAATGCATCAGAAAATTCTGGATCTACAAATAAAAAAGTATATTGTTTTAAATTGCAGACATTATTCAGAAGATTTTCGGCTATGTTACGATATATATGGAGGGTAAGTATGCTTTAACTTATATATATATACATATAAAAATATTTGGAAAAAATTCATGGATTTGTACAGATGTGGCCTAGAATATCATAAAAATATAAGGAAAAAATCTTGCCCTTTCTTAAACTGGTGCTTACCAATGACTCAGTAGTAAGTCTGACGGCTTATAACGATATTAACTGAATTTCAATACCAGTAGTTAGCACATCACAGATATTCTACTGTGTAATTTTCGCTTATCTGCAACAAAACATTACTCTGATAAACATTTAAATTGAGAAACGCTGGGAATAAGCCTGAAAATTTGTTGATCACTCAATTAGTATTATAACGAAGGAAGATTAAAATTAAGTTGTCACGAAGTCTGTGATGTTAGCATTTACGTTTTTTTGTGTTTTTTAGACCTATCAAAAACTAAACAGAACAGTACTAAACGATTATTGTGCCAATAAACGTTAAATTATGTTGTATTTTACTTAATATTTTAATGTTATTTTGTGTTTTATAATTCTCAGTTTGGTAGCTTGTTGTGCATTCAGTAAATTATACAGGAAATGTGTAACTAAAAGCCAAAACATATACGCAATATATTGTAATTATCAACAACACTTCAAATTCATCATACTCCTCATCCAGGTAGCATTGATACAATTTTTCAGTGAATGTACTTATTTATTAATCCTTACATTAATATGCTCTATTACTCAGTAAAGAATATTATTATAATTCATATTTCGCTCAATGACTTGCAATTTAACGTCTTATGCAGTTCGTTGCATATTAACGAGAAAATTTATATTCATAATTATTTATGTTTTGTTCTGAAATATTATTTGCTATTCAAGTGAAAAGAAATAAGTCAATTTAAAGCCAGTGAAAATTGACGATTTATGCCCCCCCCCCCAGTGGCACAGCGGTATGTATGCGGACTTACAACGCTAGAATCCGGGTTTCGATACCCGTGGTGGGCAGAGCACAGATAGCCCATTGTGTAGCTTTGTGCTTAATTACAAACAAACAGACTGAGGATTTATAAAAACAACATATAACGATTTCAAATATCGAGAATTAGTCATTGAAATTGTTTCAATGAACACTATTTAAATAATAACCATACAAACAAATTTGTTTAAACAGTTTGTTTAACATTCTGAAAACAACGAGATATCGTCGATACCTTGTTCCTTCCTTAAAACATTAGTATCTTCATCTGGTTGTTTAACGACATTTCGGGTTTAGCTTCATATCCTTTTTAGGACTATCATTATGTCCAGAAAAAAAAATCCCCTCTCTCTCTTTGTTTTATAAAATGATGAAACTTAAAAAAAAACAGTACCAATATTATGATATAAATTAACTTGAGGCGGGTAATTCATGAAGACAAAAGGAAGTGGAGAAATAATATTGAACAGTAAATAATGACAACTATAAAAAAACAATTATGAATAGTAAGACTTTCATTTCTGCCGAGGTTGAATAGGTTACCTTTATATAGATCAATTTATGAAACGGGAACGTTGTTTTAAATAGCAATCAGAACTCTAGAAGACGTAAGTTTTAAGTAAATTGGCCTATCGGTAAATTCAAAATTCTTTTCTCAATCATGATACAGGAAAACGACTCCTTGCAAGAATATTAGAGCTGTTATTTTTATATTATTATTATATCCCCCAGTGGCACAGCAGTAAATCTGAGGGCTTATAAGATTAAAGATCGGGCTTTCATACCAGCAGTGGATACACCACAGGCATCCCATTATGTGGCTTTGTTCTCAATAACAAATAAGCAAACAATTCACATTAATTTAGAAATTCTACACTTTGAGGTATAAGTGTTCTTTCAAATTAGACCACTGATAGTCACCCAAGCTTTGTGCAGGTGTAAATATTTTAATTTTAAATCGTAGTTTTAATAAAGTAGCCAGCTCCTTCTCGGTGGCTCAGCAGTACGCTTGAAGGCTTATAGCACTAAAATTTAAGGTTCGATTCCTGCTGTGAGCACAGCGCAGACAGCCTATTATGAGGCTTTGTGCTTAAACAAGAACAAACAAACAAAATGAATAAATCAAATAGCCATTTCAGATAAAATATGTGGCTGTTTATTATTGCAAGGTTTTCTGGAACATACCAGTTGTAAGGTAAGAAAAACTACACCAACCGCACTTCTGTTTCTACGTAGCGCCTTCATGACATTTCAAAATTGGCTTTACTTTTTATTCAGTAAAATATTTTTACATGAAAAGTATGAAATGCACCCGGGAAGACGTGCTTCTACTCCACAACTGGTTGCAACATGCGTCATAGATATTATTTGGAAGATTTTTTTTTTCATAAGAAAGCTTACTACAGCATCTTTTACATACAGCTTTGCTCGCCAAAAATACTGCCCAAACCCTCTTGCCATGCCCCCCCAGTGAATCAGCGGCTAGTCTGAAGGTTTACAACGCTAAAACTAGGTTTCGATACCCGCAATGGACACAGCACAGATAGCCCGTTGTATAGCTCTGTGCTTAACAAGAAAAGAAACAAACCTCTCGCCATGCCGCTCTAAACTTCGTCAGAGAATCAAACGAAAACACTAGATAATTCAATAATAAACTCATCCACTATTAGCGATGCTGCGTTTTATACTTTGGTAGCCGCTGTAAATACGAACGTTCTGTTGACATCAGGTGACACGTGTTCTGACTTTATTTGATATGTTTGAACGTACATATCAATTGTAAATTCAACTCTATGATCCTAAAAATACGAAAGTATTATTAACCTGTAACCTACAGAGCATTACCAGATATTTGAATCTCAAAAACTGAAGCTAAGTTAGAACGATGTGTATTCGTGACAGTTCATCTTTGAATTCATCCATGTTTCACTTTAATAACACGTACATAATTATCTATTACTCTTGAGTTTGTTACGGCATTGAATATAATTAGTAGCTTTTACTGTTACTAGGAGACGAGGTTTTACAGGCAGCCAGTAACTTCCCGTGAAGCAAGCGGATAGAGCAATATGAACTCCTTATAATAACCAATGGTTAAACGTGGAAAGATTAGGCTAGTCTAAGCTGTCTTATTTCTAAGCGTTACGCATTGCCGTTGAATTTTGCATATAGTTTTAATAGTTCTAGCTTTTAGGGTTAAACCTAAACTAATGTACTGCTAATTCAGGCTGTATAAAGATTGCTTATCTATATATGATTGTGTGTCAGTTAAAGATTTTAGCAATAAATGTTCACGGCTCCCGAAGAGAGCCATTCACGGTAGATTTCTTGATAAATTTGATGATTCTAAAGACTTGAGCTGCACAAAATAACACTGAAGGACAAAGAGTCTTGATAATTTCTTTGCATTTCTCGTATAATAAATTCATTTTATGCTTCTTTCGGATGAACAATATTTTGCTTTCTAAGGTATCACAATGAAGCTGTGTTTACTTATTTATCGTTACACTGTGGTCAAACTCGTTAGAAATATTTCATGTTATTTTCTATTGTTAAAAGTTATAAAATTTCCTGGGAAGATGGAGTTGATAGTTATTATTTTTGCACACCTTTTAATAACTTTGTCCACTTTCCTTCAATCGATAAAATATAATTTGTACGAGATGAGGCGGTAAAATAAAAGTGGTTTTCTCACTTTAATATTACGCAAATGAAATCATTGACACTTGGTAGTATCGTTACAAGGTGCCGACAGGTAAATACTGGTGTTTCACAATCATGTTGCTTACTTGGTTTCCCATTACTAGCAATCTAGCAAGATGGCGGACAGCAAACGTTTTACATATGTATGGAACATAGGGTTGACATCGTAAACTGCTTTTGAGCAAAAACTTTTTTATAATTGAGTCACACATCTGATTTCTTTCTATTGAATTTTTTAAAGCCAAAACATAACACTAAGAACTCTAGATCTGTGACAAGAGTTAAAAAAACACCTGATGCTAACGAGCCCAAAACTGTGTCAAGAGTTTAAAAAAACTGATGCTAACAGGCCCAAAACTGTGGCAAGAATTAAAAACAACCTGATGCTAACACGCCCAGAAATGTGGCAACAGTTTAAAACCAACCTCATGCTAATACCTCTAAAACCGTGACAACAGTTTACAACAAATTGGTACCAATAAGCTTCTACAACTTTTAAGCTAAATAACACAAAAAACAATTGTTGAGAAATTCACTTTTACACAAACTTCTCAGCGTTGTCCAATGTTTGGGTAAACATAGAAATCATTCATCGCAAAAATAAATAAAATGATCCATAATCTTTTAATATTTGTTTTCTCTACTTTCTATAACCAGGATTCCCTTTTAGGATTATTATTAGGGGCTCACAGTACAAGCTTATGTTAATGCAACACAAGTATTATAATCCTTATTGACAAGTTAAGCATTCTTACAATTGGAAGTCAAAGTCGTCTGAAGACTCATGCAGTAGTAAAACAAATACATATATCAACATACGAAGTACAATATGAAAAACGTACGTCGCTAAAACTTGCTCTTACGATCGTATCGAGGACGCGCTGACAGTGAGTTCGATACATCATTTGAAACGTTGTAATCTGAAAAAAAAAAAGAGATTAGATTCCGTACATTAGTTAAGCAAGCGTGTCTTACCGGGAGCAGACTCACAAATCACTTTGAGTTTATAAGCAATCATTGCAGCTAATTTGATATAAACTGTTCAGGCATACTAGAGTTGTTGAACTTAAGCTTATTTAACGGTTTTACCAGTATTTCAAAATTAACAAAATCTTAACCTAATCAAAATTCGTTTGTAAAGTTTCAGGATCAGATAAAGCTAAACTAACCATTGTAACCATGAATCATTTTCTTGATGTTGTGGTGTAGTTTAGACCCAAAATATGTACACGATTCACAATAAAAAAGTCCCCCAGTGGCACAGCGGTGTGTCTGCGGACTTACAACGCTAGAATCCGGGTTTCGATACCCGTGGTGGGCAGAGCACAGATGGCCAATTGTGTAGTTTTGTGCTTAATTACAATCACACTATATAAGAACAATTGTGCAGTCATTGTGTTCGTGCGATGCAAAATTACTTTAATATGTTATATTTATGAAATTTATAGGGCTGTAGGTGCATTATAGTAGTGAAGATCAAATCCTACTATTCAACTGGATCAGTATACGAGTTGGTTTAGTGGCGAGTTTATGGATTTATAATGCCAAAAATCTGTAATTCGATTCCCCTCGATGAACAGAGTGCAAATAGCCCATCGTGAAGCTTTGTGCTATAACAACAAAAACGCTATAATGCATCTGCCGGTGGGTCAGTGGTAAGTTTACAGACCTACAATGATTAAAATCAGGGGTTCGATTCTCCGGGGTGGATAGCGCGCAGATAACCTTTTGTGTAGCTTTGCGCTGAAACAGTAATAACACTATAATGCAATATATAGATCCAAGTACCGGTAGTGACTGACATAAAAACAAGTCGGTCATTTGAAGGTCAAATTACTTCGATTAAGGGTAGTTGGAAAACAAAACTGTGTTTAGACTAGCATTAGTATATTTCTTAATAGTGGAATCGGTTAATGATTATGTTAAATAACGCATGCAATAAGAAATATGAAAGTATAAAAATAAAACTATATATATTTATTTTTATTTTATTTTTACGACAAGAAATTTTAATCAAATGTTTTCTTTTCTAAACTATAACATAAAGTATTTCAACAAGTTTGACTCTTATATTAGGTCGTCAAGAAATTAATGTCGCTTTCTTTAGATGAAAAATCCCGAATAACTTATATATATATATTATTATATATATATTAAATAATTTATTAAATGAAATAGTCTCTATTGTTATCGATGATGCTTTTCCATCTTACAATCAGGTTGTTAATACCCTGATTAAAGAAATCACTTGGCTTTGAAGTAAAAAACATGTCGATATTCTCTTTAACACCTTCCACATTTGCACACGTTTTCACATTAAGATGGTGTTGCAGCGAACGAAGAAGATGATAATCTGATGGTGCCATATCTGGATAACATGGTGGGTGGGGGAGAACTTCCCAACCCAACTCCATAGTCTTGTGTTGCGTCTAATGTGCGACATGTGGACGTGCATTGTCGTGGAGAAGAAGAACACCGTTCCGATTGACGAGTGAGGGGCGTTTCTGATGAAGGGCTTGATTTAAACGTTCCATTTGCTGACTATAGATCTCTGCATTGACAGTTCACTGTGGATTGAGGAGTTCGAAATGAATTG